CTGCTTCACTTAATATTCAGAGCATGGAACTGTGATTTTTGACACTGACAGATTTTATGTTGTTGTATCAGTGGATTCTCCACACCATGGTTGTGTGTACAAGGTTTCAGCTTATTAGTGTGAATGTGTGTCTTGAAATGTGAATGGGTATATAAACATGCTGTTTGTAAATTGAAGTACAGAGATTTAAAATGAACTGTTTACATAATTCTGACTGTTGGTGCACAGGCCCATGTTCATGTTGTACTTAAACCATCCAAATATTTCCATTAATACTGTAACTGTTGTATTTAAATAAATGGTATATACATGATACAGAACAGAGCATTACATATCAAAACAGTTCAATAACCTACATATGAAAGGAAGACAGACTTCATTATAAAAATACATTGAGATTCTGTGTTACAAATGAAGACTCATACCTGTCATTTTGCTCCATATTACAACTTATATACTGCAGTCTGTGATTATAAATAGGTATGCCAGCTAATGCTTCATAATACAGTAATGACATGTTTGTGAATGTTTACTTATTATAACTGTATAAATTAGTGGATCAGTATAATCCATTATTTTTGTAATATTAAACATTTACTGTAAAATTTTGCAAATGCACATTATGTTATGTTATACTTGAACATACCGCTCATTTCCATGTTCACAAACAGTATAATAATGGAGTATTACATGGGTCATACTTTTTAAAAATATAACACACTGCAAGTAAGAGAAAAAATCTTTCTACGTAATAACCTGTCATACATCAATGTGTTAGTAGAATATCTTTTAAGATTCCCAGTTGGAGTTGAAAGATGTTCTTTAGCCATCATTCTTTGGCACTAGAAATGTACATTCAATGTTTAAGAATTTTCTTATTTAAACAAAAAATAATATATGCTATTTTATGACTTATAATTGTTAAAAATAATAAGAAACGTGATAAATGGGCTCTCTTGAAAAACATTTTTTGGTTGTTTTAATTGTTTGTGTTTGAGAATTTTCAGGCTTATGTGCATTTATTTTAACACTCGGTAAATAAAAAATATCCATCTGAAATATTTCAGTGTAAGTTTGTCAAAAATCCATAATATATACCTATGAGTAGGACTAAATCATATTAAACAAACTGTTTATATTTTTATATAATATTATTGGCTGTTCTGAAACTGTTATTATTTATGTCTGATTGATAGTGGAACATTTCAGACACAGACAACTTGTTCTATTTGTTCACCAATATGAAGTTAACACTTTATAAGCTGATGCTGTTATGAAGTTCTTTTATTTGTAAATGTAGCAGTTCATAATTTCCATTCTTTGAAAAATAAAAATGGTTTAAATTCCTGATAGATGATAAGAGAGAGGTTTCTTTTGACTGGTAATGTCAGGCAGAAGAGTTACAGTTCAAGGCAATTTATCTTATTTGCAGAATGATAAAGGTTAATTAAGAAAACAGAAACATTCTCAGTTCACAAATGTGTTTTATTCAGGATTCAACTATATGCCTTTCATCTCATTATGCTTCAGTTTTATATGTGAATAATATGAATAGAAATTCTGTTCCACCAGACTTCACTGTCATTCTTATTTGCTGTTCCTACTTGCTATATTGTGTATACTTGAGCTAGTTATAAAGGTATGGTGTAGTGATTGTATCAAGTATGTGAATGTTGTTAAGTTTTTCTAAGATTGTAATATTCTGTTTTTATAAATATTTTATTCTATATTTATCTGTTACATAATTATTAGTCAATTAATTTTAAATAAGTGGTAAACTCACAAGCAATACTTAAAATTGTGAACTTCGTTGTTACAATGAGTCTTGATAATTTACAATAAACATTTTATTGTTAGGTGGTCTAAATTTGTTGTTTTTACAGCATTTTGCAGTGTTATGGCTCCCTTCATAGACCATGAAGTGGTCTCCCAATCAAAAATGTGTGTAATAAGTAGCAAATAATTAAGACATTTTAAATTAAGGTGGTGACTACAGAGAGAGAGAGTAAAATGCTTGGTGGTGACAAAGAACTGAATTTAGTACGGAGTGCCCCACTTAATATGAAATCCACAATAACAGCATGCCACACAAAAAAGTGAGTGAACGACTGGGAAGTGATCTGGATTTCTGAGTTTCTGGACTTTGTCCATCATCTGATATTCTAAAAATACACAACTTCTATCATTGGACCAGTAAGGTTAGCTCCAACAGACTGAACAGAGCAGATGGCCCCCTTTCCTACACTTGAGGGTGAGGGTAGATTTTTGTATCAGATAATGGACAAAAAAGCAAAACCGCTATTGCATATATGTATTTATAATAGCTGAAAATCTTTTGGTTGAGGTCACTGAGACAGGAGAGACTCTTTTAGTGCTAGCTTAATCTTAATTATATTGTGATTCAGGCCTTTTTAGTGGGGGGAAGATTACTAAATAGCTTATTTGACTATAATAAACTCCTTTTTTTATATTTACAGAGGTTAGTGTTTGCCACATGAAGGTTATATCTGCATCTTGTACTTAAATTGGAAAGCATGAAGGGAAAATACATGGCAGCATACTATTCAAGAAAATTTGAAAGAAGCATGGTATAAGTTTCTTATTCTTACGAACAATAATAATAATTTACAAGAAATTTGCCACGCTTATCGCCGCATTGCTTTCAATCATCTATGGTGTTCACAAGATCGAAATTAAACGGTACTGTTATGTGTCACGTCTTATGAGACTGTCTCTAAGAGCTATCATACGTCCATCTGTGGAATCTGTAATCTTTCGCCAGTTGCACCTCTGGTGGAACACTTCGTAATGAACGAAGTGAAAGTATTAAAGTACAAAATGTGAGTTTTCGTGATAAAGATTGACAGATACAGATCTGCATGGGGCTGGAGTGTGCTGAATATTTGGAAAATGTAAGTGTTTATATATTTTATAAATGTATGTTTCATAACGAACTGTTTATAACTATGTATACCGGCGAGTGTACATAAAATGCTAGTCTTGTAGTAGTGAATGAAGTCACAAATAAGGTAGTGATGTAGCGTTCAGATTTACGATGATTAGCCAGGGCTTTAATAAATGAACATTACGTATAATTTACTGAGTTTAAATGGGAATGTTAATAGTTCTCCTGACCCAGAAAGGTCAGACCTTGACCATTTGAAACATTCTAAAAAATGACAGTAAAGTGAAATTATGAAAGGAATGAGAGAAAAGGTAAATTTAAATGTTGCAAATATTCCAACAGAATGTAAATCATTTTGCATGCCGTAAGTTTGCTCGAATTTCGTAGTCGAAGTACCTAGGAGTGCTATTGAATAGTTTGTTGGAAGTGTGTTTATAAATGTCATTCTGTGTTGTGACATTGTGTAGTCTCATAGGTAGATACCATTGTTTCAGAGAAACATACAGTCTCCATCTTGAGGGTTGAAATGGGGATTTAGGGAAGTGTTCCATGTAATTCCCAACATTCTCACTACAGCAGTGAAGATGGAGACTATGTTTCTACCTGCAAATCCACATGGCATCACAACCCAGAACGTCATCATCTTCACTGCTGTGAGAACATCAAATCTCACATGTTTTCATCAAGTTTGATGGATTATTGGAATATGTTATTCTGTCTTGAAACTTTTCTCACTAATGCATCAGTATTGCATATGTGACTCAAGCATTGTGTGATACAATTTCTCAGTACCCATCTTTACCAAGGTCTAATAATCCTGCCATGCCATTAAAGATGATAGTTATTGTGACTCACATTTAGTATTTTTTATAAACTGTTTTGCCTAATATGCCATATTCAAGGCTGCTAGACTTTTCTCTGGCTATTTTTGTTATATGGTGGCCGTTTACTTTAGGTCAGAGTGGTTTGTGGGAAAAGTAACAACAAACAAAATTGGAATACTGTGATAGTTTATGATGGTTAGAGGACTTCCACTAAGGAAGTCTGTTATAAAAAAATTAATAATTAATAGTAGTTATAGCTAAATTCATATCAACAGTAGATTAGTTAGGTTTAGTAACAGAAATCCAAGTTGAAAGGCAGCAAGGACCTGTGAAATGTTGATAAACTTCTACAAGATTACACAATGCCACAACCCAGAAGACAGATATCTTCATACACCCTGCCACAAGAATATCAAATCCTACAAGTTACGTACTCTATTTTACATTTTTCTCAAATATTTTAGAGAATTCTTTAGCAATGAAATTGGTCTGTAATTAAACATGCTCAAGTTTTTACCTTTTTTATGTAGAAGTTTAACTTTTTGATATTTAAGTAATTCTTGGACAACTCATACTGCCATTTATTGGTTCTGGATATGCAAATATCAGGTTTCTGCTGTGGGTACATTGTTTGGTTAGCTGTATTTTAATTCATGTGTAATTTTGTGTTGGCTCGGTTGTGTTATAAAGAGTAAATGTTGTTAGTGTTTTATTATTTTCTGCTTGTTTCTTAAATGAGAGGTATGATTATTGATAACCTTTCATGTTTGAGGGTTTTGGTTTTTAGTTCAGGAGATGAAACAGATTTTGGATACCAGTTCTTAAGTTTTTCCAAATTTAGAAGTGTTTTATTTGTCAGTGCTTGACCTTTAAAATTAATACTTGTTCAGATGAGTACTTGACTTTTACAAGTGATTGTAAAGAAGTTATAATTTACTCATCACATTAACTTTAGCATACATTTTAGTTGGTTCTTGGCATTCCACACACATTTGGCAGGTTGATTTTGATGCATGAAATGCCAAGCTACTTGGGTTAAAAAAACCTTTTGTGAATGCTGATGCATGCCCATTCATATGCTGATGATGGTAATTTTGAAGTCTTTATATAACTGTGTGACTAATGTGCCTAAGCTGTTTGCATGAAAATGTATTTCTGGCCACTATAAACATCTTGAGTGGTGAAATGTATATTGGTTACATACAATACTAACAAATTCTGAATTAGGCAGATTTATCTCAATAAATTTTATTTTTTCCTAGAATGTAGTGGCGGTGAGGAACATATTTATTTTAACTGTTATTCTTTCCAAGCCAATGTTCAGGATGTAGGGTCATCTACATTCTTGGATTAGTGTACTGTTTTATAAATTAAAAACACAACAGTTTTCCTGAAATGTTCTTCACTACTGTAAGGAAACTGTCTTTGCTGTGACCCATATAGCATTGGTTTGGGACTGTAATTGTGCATAGACTAAATAAACAAATCAACTAGTAATGGCCATTTCTTTTACAGTGTGTTTGAAATGTAGATTGGTAGGTTATTAATTATAGTGATTCAGTGGCAGATGGTATTTAGCATTAGTTGGATATAAGTGTTATTTGGAAACTGTTTGCAGTTATTCTTTTTGATTTGATTTATCTGTTCTGAACATTTACAGTTTTATCACTTTTCATTGTAGTCTCCCTCCTCAATATACTTAGTCCAGTGGCTTACAAGGTTTCTCACATGATAAAAAACTTTTTTGGTTGAGTTCATAGTCAGTCATGGACTGCTTCATTATCATCTGCAAAAATGTCAAAATGGGAGCCATAGTAACAAGTGTACATTATTGTGACATGCTGCAGGATGGATTTAAGCCAGTGACTGCAAAAAACTTAGAGGAAAATTGATGCAGGGTGGTGTTCTGTTGCACAGTGCCTACCCTTATTCTGCTGTCCACACCAAGGAAATTTGAAAATCACTCTTAAGGAACTGAAATTTGAAGCTCTTGACCATTCATCTTACAGTGCAGACCTTATACCTTCTGATTTTCGTCTGTTTGGACCATTGAGAGAGGCTGTGAGAGGTTGTTGATTTGCAGGTGGTGAAGTTAAGGAAGCAGTGCATGACTGGCTCTGCACTCAACCAGAAAATTATTTTTATGGTGAACTAAGCATTTTGAGAAGCAGGCAGGCTATTAGGAAAAGTGATACAACTGTAAGTGTTTAGAGAAAATTAATTACAAAAGAAAGAATAATTCTGGATACTTTCTAAATTACATTTGTATATGCGTGGTGTGTTGTTTCTTCCAGTGGGAGTTGGCACTGTCTTTCCATGGAGTTTTCCAGAAAAACATTTTGAATGCATATGTAGTTTCTTTGATGTGTGCAACATGATTTATTCTGACATTACTAGGTGATGGGGACAAACTATGAAACTCCTTGTTATGTGGTTATTATCTTTCTTCACATACTTTATCTCCGTTAGTCAATCTAATCTCCACACTTCTGTGTTCAAGTATTTTAACTTAAAGTTAGAGGTGTTAAACATAATTGCTTATTGTTAAATAATCTTCACAGATATTTTGCCACAGCAGAACAGTTACCACTGCCAGAAACCGATGAGAGCAAGTTTGAAAATGTGTTCTCTTTGGAGTAGACACAAATTCTAGATTCACAACACAGGTGTTGAAGTCAGCGGGTTAACTTGTTAATGACCACAGCACAGACAAACTGTGATCCTAGTATTAAAGACGACAGTGTTATGCAAGGTCGTTGTCACAACAGTTTAATCCGAGGTTATTGTTGTGAGCCAACAGTGACCTCAGTTCGGAGTGTTGCAACAATGCACCTGAATAATAACATATTCCGCTCGTAGCATCGGTTCTCATTGTAATGTTTTCCAGGTGGCCTTGGTTCTCTTTGATGCGTGTGAGCTTGGTCGTTAAGGTTGTCTAGTTACTAGGAAAAAATCGCGAATTGTGTTTGTTGTTCACGCTGGACCGCGAAAAACACTAGTTTTGTGTCAGAGATTATTTTCACAAGTATAACGAATACCATATCTTGTTTTTTGCTGTTGGTATTAGTCTGCAAAAAGTATCCGATACTTGAAAAATAAAAACCCTCGCTTTGAACTTTCTATGCTGGTCTTCTGGGTTGTAACGCTGTGAGAACTTGTTGGTAGATACCAACGTTACACACTTTATTACAACCCAAAATACTAACATCGATGTTTTCGCCGTAAGAACAGCAAATCCTTTGCTGAGTGTCACTGCTTCAAGGGTCTCATAAGAATAGTTTTCTTTTGCTGTTATACGCATGTGAATTTTTTATAAAGTCACGATGTGCGCAGTGATGTGCTGAACATCTTTCACTATTAAATAAAGAGTGAGTGCCTTTGAAACATGCAGAGCATGCCCCTGTATGTGTGTGTATATTGCTCTCGATCCACCACTCGCCCCAGAGCTGAGCGGGGTATCAACCTGCGATCAATACTACACTGTCCCACTCAGCATCATCTCTTCTCATCTCCATGGTTACAGGAGCTGCAAAATACAAACCAGATGTCCACGCCTCGAAGTCTGATTAATTATCGTCCCAGTGCATGCATGCTGAGATCAAGTTCCGAGCCAAAATATCCTCCCACCAGAATTTAATCTTTGGACTTTCCACTCCCCTTGTTCTTAAACGTGGTGATGCTGTATGGGCCCCAGAACCAGTCTGGACGCAGTAGCTAACAGAAAAATCTCCATGAACCTGTAGCTTAGTCACTATACTTACTGAGCTGTTCTGGCTTCGTTTTATTATTCACTTAAAATTCATGTTTTGTTTTGTTCGTTGCGGGATTTGACGTTCTCACGTTGGCGAGTATGGGTTGTAACGCTGTGTAGTCTGGAAGAAGTTTACCAACATTTCAAAGGTACTTGCTGCCTCCATCATCAGGGATTGTTTGATAAGTTAGTACTGAAATGCACATGGGCCGCACAAAGTCTGCGGGACGCGGCTTGAGAACCCCTGGCCTAAAGTATAGGTCTGCACCATTACTCAAAACATTAATGACACTAGATCAGGTCTGACAACTTGACCTTGTGACCTAGAGCCGCCGCCACCACTAGAAGAAAAGGAAGGCGTGATTGGGACGTTTAAGTAGCTGTGCGTTGCAGTAAATTCATTGTTAAGAAGCTGCTGATTGTACACACAGT